CAACTTGGCGTTTAATCTGTATGATTACAGTAGGCTTGCAAATATGTATACTTGAATCAATCTATGACGTCATAACGTCAAGACAACGTGATGTGCGTTAGTGTTTTGGGTTGCATCTGATACAATGGACTCCTTGATGATTGTTAAAAGTTATTTAGGTTACTGAAAATTATTTCCTTACTTTGCTACAACGCCTTAAGCATAATAAAATAGACCGCGGTTACGGCCCTGCAAATCTTTATTACTTAATCTATGACGTCATGACGTCGAAACTTCGCAATGTGCGTTAGTTTTATTTGTTGAATCGGAAAGTGTAGATAACTTAAGACATGTTAAAAGTTATTTGATTACTAAAAATTATTTCGTTACTTTGCTTCAAGGCGTTTAATACTAGTACATGTATTATTAAATAGGCTGCGGTTGCGGTCCTACAAATCTGTATAGTTTAATCTATGACGTCATGCCGTCAAAACGACACAATGTGCGTTGGTTTTATTAGTTGTATTTGATGGTATGGACCTCTAAAAGATTGTTAAAAACCATTTGAATACTGAAAATTATTTCGTTACATTGCAACAACGCGTCATAAATAATTAAATAGACCGCGGTTGCGGTTCTGCATGACATGACATGACATGACGGTATGACATGACGTCAAAACGACGAAATGTGCGTTAGTTTTAACAGTTTTATTTAGAGGTATGGACCTTTAAAAGATTGTTAAAATTGACTTGAGGCTTAAAAATTATTTTATTAATTTGCTACGAGTAGTTGAATATCATTATATAAACAGGGATTCAGGTCCTACAAATCCGAATGGTTGAATCAATGACGTCATGACCTCAAAACGACGCAATTTGCGTAAGTTTTATCAGTTTTATTTGATGGTATGGACCTTTAAAAGATTGTTAAAATTGATTTGAGAACTAAAAATTATTTCGTTAATTTGGTACGAGTAGTTGAATGTCATAAAAACAAGAATTCTGGCCGTACAAATCCGTATAGTTTAATCTTTGACGTCATGACGTCAAAACGACGCAATGTGCGTTAGATTTATCAGATTTATCTGATGATATGGACCTATAAAAGATTGCTAAAATTGATTTGAAAACTTAGAATTATTTCGTTAATTAGCTACGAGTAGTTGAATATCATATAAACAGGTAGTCAGGCCCTGCAATCCGTACGGTTGAATCAATGACGCCATGACGTCAAAACGACGCAATGTGCGTTGTTTTTATCAGTTGTATTGGATGGCATGGACCTCTAAAAGATGGTTAAAATTGATTTGAGAACTAAAAATTATTTCGTTAATTAGGTACATGGCGTTCAATATATATGCATACACTAGTGTTGCAATCCTCAAAAATCCGTCTATTTTAATCTCTGACGTCATGACCTCAAAACGACGCAATGTGCGTAAGTTTTATCAGTTTTATTTGATGGTATGGACCTCTAAAACATTGTTAAAATCGAATTTCAAAACTAAAGATTATTTCCTTAATTAGGTACGAGTAGTTGAATATCATTATATGAACATGGATTCAGGCCCTACAAATCTGTATGGTTGAATCTATGACGCCATGACGTCAAAACGACGCAATGTGCGTAAGTTTTATCAGTTTTATTTGATGGTATGGACCTCAAAAAGATTGTTGAAATTGATTTGAGAACTAAAAATTATTTCGTAAATTAGGTACGAGTAGTTGAATATCATTACATGACAGGGATTCAGGCCCTACAAATCTGTATGGTTAAATCTATGACGTCATGACGTCAAAACGACGCAATGCGCGTTTGTTTTATTAGTCGAATCTTCTGGTGTGGACCTTTTGAGACTGTTTAAAAGACATTTGGTTCATAGAAATTATTCCTTGACTTTGCAACATGGCGTTCAATGTCTGTCGGGTGCGGTCCTGGACGGCATTCTTGAATCTTTGACGTGAAAATGAATCCATGTGCGTTGATAATATTTGATAGTATCGACCACTTAAATATTATTAAAACTCATTTGGTTGTTGAAAATTAGAAGATTATTCAATCAAATGAATACAATGTCTGAAAGGCTGTGGTTTGGTTTGACATACGTACGTGCAATGTCTATTTACATCCTGTATGCGTGCTCATTTGCATACATGGGACAATGGAATGCTCCCGCGACCGAGGTGTCTACGAAATAGCGCATACCTTTCGAATCGAAGGCTCAATCGAAGGCTGCGAATCGAAGGCCGAAAGGAGGGCTAACTTCAGGTTGGTGCGTTACCATGTATGTCACACAGTTTGTGTTTTACCTTTGTTTGTGCAAAGATATTGGGGTGGCTTTAAAAAACGAAAGGTCTATAATCGTATAAAAATTTTCTTGGGCTACTGGTCAGCTTAATCTTAAAAAACTTGAGAAAGGAAATGGAGTAAAGAAACAATGGAATATTGTAGTTAAATGGAAGGGACATAGAACTACCTTTGAAGGTAACGAAAACACATTTAGATACTAGGCACTCCAAGGAGGGTAGTGACATCTGCATGTTTATTGATCTTAATAGCTTGCAATATAGACAATGATTTAAAAAGCATTTCGCTAGATCATGTTATTACACTGTTGGCATGATAGTCCTGTCTAAACAAGTGGAAAAGATTCCGCACTTTATAGTCAGCATTAAATTCATGTTGATAACTTACATTGTACATGTATATGGAATTTTCTTGTTACAGAGCAAAAGACCGTGTCTGTTCTGTTAGTAATCGATGCATATGGTCCATCCTATGGAGGTTCTAAATCAACCTTCAACCGTCAAGTGGCCCAGTTTCTGAAACGTCACGGTGCTACAGTTCATTCCACTGCTTTGCAAGCATCTGATGAAGACAAGAGGTGCGCCACAGAGGACGGTGTCGTTCTACATCTGCCTGTTCAAGACCCCGGGGACAAGAGGACGCCATCTTTGGAATGGTTAACCTATGACCACAACGCTCGTTACCCATACATAACACAGGATCTGAAGTGCATTGTGGGCCATACAGACATCACAAGTCATGCTGCAAATAGCATACAAGAGAAACGATGTCAACACGCAAAATTGGTCCTTTTCAACCACGACATGCCAGAAGAGACAGAGTACTACAAGGGAACTATGAAAGCGATGGCCGCGGGGAGGAAGATGGAAGACATTCTTGAAGATGCAAAGAATGCAGATGCCGTGTTCTCCTTGGGAAGAAGAATCTACGACTACTTCGAGACGACGTACATGTCACTTGGAGACAGCAAACCAAGACAACACTTCCTGTTTCTCCCAAGACCATCCCCAGTGTTTGAGGCCATCTCTGTCAGACCAGGAGGAGGAGAGAAAGTCGTGCTGTCTGTCGGGAGAGTGACGGAAGTGGACAAGCTGAAAGGCCATGACCTGGTAGCACGGTCCATGGGGGAGGTTACAGAGAAGATCCCAAACGTCAGATTGCGTGTTCGCGGGATAGATGAAGATGACTGGGAAGCGAGCAAGCGAATCCTGGAGGAGAACCTACACAGTGGTAAGATCAAACCCACCCTACTGCCTTGTGGGACCCAGGAGGACATTGCTGAGGATATGAAGCAGGCCCACCTGGTCCTGATGCCGTCCCGTGCCGAGCCGTTCGGACTGATCGGTCTGGAGGCCATCGCAGCAGGCATCCCTGTACTCATCTCTGACAAGTCAGGCCTGGCAGACATGATCAAGGACTTGATCAAAGAGAAGAAATTCCCTGCAGACATGAGGCACAGGATCGTGACAACCAGCGTTAGGGAGTCCGACGTGGGTGAAGATGCAAGAAAATGGGCTGAGAAGATCACAGACACCTTGGAATACTCTGAGTCAGAATTCGACAGAGCAGCAGAGTACAAGAAGAGGCTGTTGGAGTCCAAGTACTGGGAAGAGTCGCACCAAAACCTGCTGCGGGTCTGTGGATTGAATGACTGACTCTAGATCTATAGTTTGCATCCACTCTTTCAGACTCTCATGTATCAAATTCCTTGTCAATGATTCTGACCCACAGACTTTTTACATACTGTATATTTGCTTCAAAGTCAGTGAGTTTTTGCATGGCTAGAAAGTGACCTCATCAAATAGATGTAGTCATTGAAATTGACCATTGACTTGATCAAAGAAAGGACAAACGCAATCCAGACATGAGGCACAGGGTTGTGAAAACCAGTGTGAGGGAGTCCGACCAACTTAAAGCTGTAACAGAATGGACGGCCTTGGATAAGTTGAGGTATTCTGAATTGGATTTCCTGAGAGTTCAAGAGGCAGCTCTTTAAGTTCAAGAACTGGGAATAGTTGCACCAAAACCTAGGCCTGTTGTGGATTGATTGATTGAATAACTTGAAAGAACACTTAGAAAACAAGAGTTCCGAGATCTCATACCTCCATGAAATATGGGCTTAACATGTAAATGTAAATTTCTTCTTTAATTATGCAAATGAGCTCCACATTGACATAATAAATGAATCGTGGTGTTAACTTTTGATTAACTTACACATGTACCAAGTTTGAAATTCCCATCATTTACCACTAAGGAGAATTTTCGCATTAATTATGCAAATTAGGTCATCATTTGCATAATTGGTATCTGTTGATGTTCCATCTGCCATAGATTACATACATGATATGTATGCAAGTACCATAATGCAAAACACTGTAATTATAGAATTTCCTAATTAATTATGCAAATTAAGTCCTCATTTGCATAATTTGTATGCATTTAAATATGTACACCTCTCTCTCAGCTACCAACCTACCAAAAATGATGAAAATACATTGTTCCTATCTGGACTTATTGGCTTTTAAAGATTTCGACCGAAAGTCCCCTGCAGTTCCAGAACAAGCTGCTAGGGGGACCAAAACCACACCACTTATTCCTAAAAATCAAGTCACCAAAAAATCAAGACCATAGCTTGTTCAGCACAAAAGATACAAAAACCGGAAGTTCTGCTGCAATACCAAGGTCATCCACCAGGAGGCCCATATTTGACCTTGACCTTCGTCTTCCTAAGACCTACCAGTATACCAAATATCATCACAATCCATAAAGGCGTTATGAAGTTATGCTGACTACAAATGTGCGGAAACACAAACACACAGACAGACAGACACACACACACAGACAGACGCGCCAAAAACAATACCTCCATTTTTCATGGAGGTAATAATCCTTACAGAACAATGTCAACGTCTTGTTGGTTGGCCTGGAGGCCACCAGTGAGGTAGGCATCTCAGAACCCATATCTAGCCACACAGGGCTTGCAGGAAAGACAATTTAGGACTTGATAAGGTTCAGAGAGCACTACAAATTAACGAGTCTAGCCACATATTCAATGCAGGCCAATAAGATTATATACCTTTCATATATATCCAAATCTGAGCATTGCTAAGCAGCTTCATAAGGGACCAAAGGTGATCTGGCCTGGGCAGCAGATGCTAATTTGGAAACAATCTTTTTCTATTGCAAATATCACTTTTAAAATAGTGTGTGTTAAAGTTTAACGAAATGTGTAGCTTATTTGAAATGAGCATTTGAAATTTACAATTGTGCTGATGCACCTTCACAATCTCTATTTTTTTCTACAATTCTCTTCATTTATTTAGATGCTCAGTCACTCTTAAAAACACATTAAAGGTTTGCTTCATTTGCTGACATTTGTATCAAGCACATACTAACTGTATCATTATACTACAAGTAATCTTCTACTATATCACCACACAAAAGGCACCAGAACTGCCGTCCTCTGTCTGTAGGCCAGATACCCCGGGTTGTTCCCCCATCTCTTCATGCCCAGTTCATCTAACAGGGGAACACCACAGGAAGGCCACAAACATGGGGGGAAAACAAAGAAAGTTTTGTACCGGTATGTGCTGTATTCAAGCTTGAATACAGTGTATATTACAGTAACTATCAATAAGGTCTTTGACTTTGAGTTAATTTTGGACAAAAGCTACCCTGCTGTTATAAACACATCAAATGTTTGGTTACAAATTATACAATTGCTGACATTTGTATCAAACACATACTATACATGTAACGTTAGTTATTCATTACTACGTCTTACTGTATAATTGCACTACCACACAAAAGGCACCAGAACTGCCGTCCTCTGTCTGTAGGCCAGATACCCCGGGTTGTTCCCCCATCTCTTCATGCCCAGTTCATCTAACAGGGGAACACCACAGGAAGGCCACAAACATGGGGGAGACCACACTGATGTGTTCCCAGCCTGACATAACCCCGGCAGCTGTGATATACAGACCCAGCCACAGGCTGATCTCTCCCAGGTAGTTTGGGTGCTGGCTGATACTCCACAGGCCGGACTGGATAAACTTTCCTGTACAGTAAGAATGAATAAATTGAAATTATTTCAACCCTACATTTGTTAACAGTTTATCATAACACCCTGGGTTCTGTTTGGACCTGTATTATCGAACAAATCAGATTTAAAGACTTTCCTCATTAATTATGCAAATTAGCTCCTGATTTGCATACATACCATTTAATTATGTCAAGCATCACTTTAGCTACTTACACACCAAAAATCACGACAATCTGTCAACCCATTCTCGAGTTATTCTCCTTCGAAATTTTTTCAACTTAAGTAAACGCTCCTGCAGTTCCAGAACAAGCCGCTAGGGGGCCCAAACTCATGTCACTTCTTTCTTAGGTCAAGAGCTATTTACCACCCAAAATTCGTGACCCTAGCATGTCCAGATCATGAGATATCAAAACCGGAAGTTCTGCTGCAGTCAGGAAAGCTGCCAGGATGCCTAGGAAAGCCGCCAGGATGCCCAAAATCTAATCATTTCTAGGTCTCATGAAGACTTACCCACCTACCAAGTTTCATGACAATCCATCAAAAGCTTCTTGAGTTATCGTGCTAAACCACAAACATACATACATACATACATCCACAGTGCAGGCTTAATTCATTGTTTACTACCATCTTAACATCATTTGCAATCTCTATTTGGTCCATTCCAACTCCTGACCTTAATTTGCATAGTTACGATGTTGGGAAAAAGGACTTGCTATTAGTCATTCAAAGTATAATAGGAACAGTATTGTTGAAAGATGGGAGAATATCCTCTAGCACCAATGCTTTGGGAGAGTCCTAAGTTTGAAAATAATTCTTCAACATTGTTACACTAGTTTATCCAGAGATATTAGAAGTTCACAATCTCACCTGAGTTTTCTGGATCTGCCTTGAAGACAGACTTCTGATAATCTGCCACAGCCTCCAGCAGGAGTCCCACAGCCCAGATGGACCAGCCCAGGTAGTCCTGCAGGGGTAGTGTTTCACAAGATAGAATTAAAAAGTTTACTTTTATTATGTTTACAGAAGGAAAACATATTGTTTTTACTCAGTTTCTTCCTCTTCTTCTTCTTCTCCAAACAGTGACCTATGACCTGACCAATGACATGATTTGTTGACATCTGTCACCATGGTGACTGGTGTTGGGTTACATAATGTTGCAATTTCATGGTCTGCTCTGCTCCTGTCACTATATACTAGTAGTACATGTATGTGGATGTGTTTGAGTAAGAATTAACAGAGCAGACCATGTCCGAAGGTAAACATCATGCATTTGCTTTGCAAATGTTAAACTTCTCTAGTTGAATACTATAGCTTAGACATACACAAGTATAGGATGAATGTTACGTGGGATTTCATTTGTTCAAATTTTAGTTTACGAATGGTATTTTGAAAAACAATATATCTGTGGCAACACCATTTGATTATTTTGGAGAAAAGTGAACCCTGAATATAATCTGTATCAGCTAGGGTACATGTACCTACTACTATATATGGTGACAGGAGCAGAGCAGACTGCAGATGTCAAATTGCAACATTATCTAACCCAACATTGATCAGTCACCATGGTGACAGATGTCAACAGATCATGTCATTGGTCAGGTCAGAGATCAATTGTTTGGAGAAGAAGAAGAAGAAACTTAGCAAAAACAATGTTTTCCTTTGGTAAACATAACAAATCCTATAGTCTGTACTAGTGACCACCTATGCTGGAGTCTACCTCACAGGTCATTGTGGGCACATTTTCTAGTGGTCCCTTAGGCTATATTTACTAATGATTGACACAAAAATTAAGTATCCTGTCTACAGTTGCCATTGTTCATTGAGTTAGTGGTCAATACAGACTGATGTTTGACTGTTATTTACACCACCTGAAAGTCGAGACTCCTGTCCCTTGTTTTGGCATTTAAGGATGAGAGTTGGCAGGAGGGTGTCACATCATGAACACCCAGACGGCCTGGAGCGTCCAGAACACCAGGAAATGCAACGGGTTTCTCTTTGCCTCATCAAACCTGACGTCTTTCCCATCCCTCAGCACCCGCAGGAACAGGTAGGAACCCAGACGGGCCGCCCAGATTAGCACTAGGGTCGTCTGGACCTAATAAAACTTTAAAAAGGGGAAAAGATTACCATAAGTTGGCATAACACATACAAATAATTTATATATAAATATATAGTGTTAAATATACATGTATAGTGTAGACCTGTAGAATGGAATTGGTATAGTTTACAGTTTGTACTGTGATAACAGGTATTCCCTAATAACCTCCAAGCAGATCCTGGGATGGCAAATTGGCCAAACAGTAACCATTAGCCAGTCAGGAGAGGGTCATGTATAAGCCACCCATTGCTCCCAACATCTGCTTGGAGAGTGACTAATCCATTATAGTTAATGTATCAAACTCCAGCTTTACAGAATAGGTCAATGAAGTTTACAATCATATTATCAGAAGCATCACACAACAAACGTTCTACCTTTTGCCTTAGTGTCCCCCTCCCCACTGGAGGGACAGGTAGGCCAGCAGTGCGTAGGCTGCCGACCCCGCCAGATCGAAAAACTTCTCGGTGCTGAAGGCGACTGCCACCGCCCAGCAAGCCCACTGGATGCCCAAATCCAACGCCGCAGACTTGTACAACACCATGGAAGAGCTAGCCTGAGTAGGCACTAGCTGAGATCGTTTCAAACTTGGTGCATGATGTTATGTAATAAAATGTAGGCTGGCTAAAATTTTATAAATTTACTCCTGAAAAACTTGCCCATTTCATAGCAAAAAGTGAGATCAAAATACTATTTTCGAAGACTTGACGAATTTTCTTAGCATCAAATTAATCTTTATAATAATATCCAAAATCTTATTTTATATAGAAGTTATATTTTGATAAATATATTTTGGCAGTTTTTTTATGTGTCATATGACAGCTAAGCGCAGAGCATAAGGGGCCTCAAAGTGGTTGGCGACTTTCTTCTGCGAAAGTTTCGTTTTCTTTAGCGATGTTTTCTTACGTATAGCTTCTTTTAAGGTAAGTTTTCCCCGTTTGTATGACTTTTGTAATACTCATGGATTCTTATGAAATTTATCTGTGGGCTGAGAGTGTCCCAACCATCTGTGAACTTGTCTTATGTGTGTTAAAGGCACTCTATGTAGTTTTTTGCGGAAAAATTTTAAATATTCTAATTATACTAAATTTCAATGTTATTAACAGTTACTATCACTTTTCAACACATTTGTGTCATTATTTCACATTTTTACGTATATTTTGTCCGTTCAAACAGTCCTTGTTCTGTTCTCGGTGCCACCGGTTTGCTCTGAGGACAACAACAACAACATACAGGGGTTGCCCCCTAGGGTGGCTAATTGGCCCCCCCCCGGCATGCCAGGCTTGAGAGACAGTGGCAGATGTCACAAGATAAGCCTCCTTAGAAAAAACTCATATCTTTCACATGAGGTGGAATATAATTATCAACTTAGAGTATTTTGTTTGGCATGAATAAACTGTGGTCATTATCCCTTCAAAAGAGATAAAAAATCTGGTAAACGATTAGGTATTTCAGAAACTGGTAAGCTATCAACTGACACCCCACTGGGATGTAGGTCAAACCACTGGGAGTGGACAATACCATATGTGCGGTTTGGCCAGAGGTTGAATATTCATCTAGAAGATCATTCACAGTTTTCTAAGCTTCTAAGGAGCAAGGATGTTGTATTTTTTGTTGCGGAGTATAATTTTGGAATACTAAAGGGTTAAGTTAATGTACTATGTAAAAAAAAGAATGAAAAATATACTTTTTGTATTGTCAAAAAACTACATAGAGTGCCTTTAAGAGTGGGAGGGGGACAAGGTACACCAGTTCTCTTTCAAAGGTCCCGGGACCTTTACAAAACTTCACGGTACAATTTTACCACCACACAAATGCAGGAATCATTCATTTTTATATTAGCTAAGGACTTAAACATGTAGAAATCATATTTATGGACATTCCTTGTCAAATGTAGATCGCTGAGATGCATTTTTTTAACGTACGTCCGTTTCAGTGTTTTCTAAACCCGGAAGTAACGTTTTGTCATAATTATAATGATAGCTATGATTTGTCCGTACGTTGTCAACGTTAAGAAAGAGACGAGAAAAATATAGACGATTATTTCGTGCATGTCTACACGTCCTTAAGACGGTATCCAATAATTGAATAATTTCTATGCATACATGTACACTGGTCAAGACAAATACAAAATTGACCTTAGATTTAAACCAGTTTTCTAAATGCATGTACAGACATTATGTGAGACAGTCATTTAGTACTCGGTACTCTACTGTTCTTCTTCTTCTTCGTTACTGCCCAGCCCTACGGTGTACGATTATTGGCAGCCGTTACGCATTGTTAATAACATGTGACCCGGGCGATACATAAAAAAGTATAAACATAAGACTCTACTGTTAAATAAGGAACTACAAGGCCAGCTATATGTTAAAAGTGTGTGGGTTCAGGACCTTAGGAAAGGTGACCTGAAGACAGGAGTGGATTTCTGCCAGTTAGAAGTGGACAGAGACAGACATGCCGTACCACATCCTAGTGAGATTGACCATCATGTAAGGAAACAATGTTGGTTTGACAGGCTTTGGATATTGATTAACATGTTGCACACATGGTTTAACTGTTCCTTTAGCTCAGTTGTTTGTGACTTAGTTTGTGAATTTCTCAGTGGATGCTTTTATGATAGTACTGGTATTAGTTTCAAGTGTAAGTGACTACATTGTAGGGCCTTTGTTGCCTCATTTGAACCACAACTTTCGTTCAGAAAGCTTTCCTGTGGATAGCTCAGTTTACAGCCACTCATAATCTGTCTGGGTGATTCATGCTAATCAAGGCCTCATCCCATTTAGCCTGCATTCTCAGCTATGACATGAATCACATTGTCAAGGCAAGGCCTCTATGAATACTAGCCATATAGACTTTTGTGCAGTATGATTTCCTCACCTTCATGTTCTATAGGTGAGCAGTATCTGGGTGCGAGCCCTGGAGAGGAGACCAGACCTGGCCGAACACTACTACATGTTGGTGAAGGACAGTCAGTAACACTTTGTGATTTTTGTAGATTGTGAGGAGTAACACATATAAGACCAGCATGGTAGATGCCCAAGTTGTAGTCTGTATTTCATCTCTAGGACCCAACAGCGAAACTTGTGACTACATTATGTTATACTGTTGGAGAAATGGTGAGTTCAGCACCAAGGACAGAGCCAATATTGCTACAATTTTAATGTATGACAGTTTGCTACATACATTGAGTGTGTTGCCTGTATGGTTGTTATCCATTTTTTTACTTGTTAATGTTGGTTAGCACTTCTAAACAACCTATATGCATTGATATAATGACTCAAAACCCCTAGACAATTATCAAATAGAATTCAATGGCAAAACTCATAGTGAAGCAAGAAAGTAGTGGCCAAGACCAGTATGTCATTGGTTTGAAATTTGTCTGTGAATTTGTGTATGTTTGTTTTCCTGTGCAGTAAATGCTGAGATGTGAAGTATGCCAACCTGTACAACACCCAGAGTACTGCCATGCTGATGGCTGATCAGTTTGCACAGTAAGTATATCTGCACAATAACGATTGGGATTAGCCTTCCAGTATAAGTACTACCCTACTGCACAGTGGTATGGTTATAGCTCGCGTTACAGGTTCCAAGTAGAACGTGATGAGTTGTTAAGTTGTTACAGACAACACTCAGATCAAAATACAGGCCTGCAAAGTTTTTTTGAGATTCTTAACTATTTAACGTTAAAGATGCAGGTTTTTGTTTTCAACCCCGTGAATCTTGTCAGAAAAGGACAAGCTTGTAAGTTTCTAGTTTTGTATGTTACTAGCTTGTGTGTTTCTGGGAGAATGGCTCTACTGAGAACTGCAGAAAGTCAAGGATGAACTCAACAGAAATGTAAGGAATCTCACAAATATGACATACGTATACAAGCTGCTGTGTTACACTGAAGGGCAGTTACCATGTATACAGGCTATACAATGATAGAGTAACACAGTAGCTGTACATGATACAGCACTTTGTTATGATATTCTTTGTCATCATCTTTAAGACACCAGTAACTGATTAACAGAAATCTTTGTTGACACGCACAAAAAAACAGTGACTTGTGTAAGGTCTTCTGCAGCAATACCTACAAACAAACAAGTGGATGAAATAAACTTACATGTACACACCAGTACATTACATAAGTACAAAATGTATATGAATAAATCAACATGGTGTTTAACATTTTATTTACATTAAGGCCACACCAATTTAATGTCTTGGTTAAAGGATTTCTCTAGAAAAATAATGGAGCGGGAGGGCAAAAAATAAAAACAGGCCTAGGCATCCTATTATGGCCCAAAATGGTACGATAGGAGCCATGAAGTCAACACACCAGGCTGGTTCAAAATTTAAACAATGAATTTTGAAACTTCTAATGATACCACTGCATTAAAAGATGGAATAACTGTAACAACTAGGAAGAAAAGGACTGTTTCAACTGTTCAGGGCAAAATGTGAACATTTTGCAGTTGGTTCTGAATTTTTTTTTTGCAAGTCAGAAAAAAATGAAGCGGGCGAATCTGTTAACCAAGAAATTAAATTGGTGTGACCTAATGGTTCTAAGTTAACAAATTTCCTTGTACTCAGGCATTACATAACAACCTGCTTGCTGGCTCTACTGTACACTACAGCTAGCTGTCACTACTGCACATGTAGTCCCAAACTTTTCTGCATGCTTACTTCCCCAGATTGTGTCGTGTAACAAGACCCTGTACGAGATCCTACAGAAGTCAGGCCGCCACGTGTCTGTGAAGGAGGCTCTGGCAGACAGCAGGGCAACCAAGAAGAAGAAAGTTGCCATCAACAGTCTGAAGCTGTCTGATGAACAGCGAGACGTGCAGGAACATGCTGTCAGGCTGGTACAGACAGCTGACCCTGACTTCAGGTCATCCTGGGTTGACATCATACAGACTCAACAACTAGAGGTACATGAAAACGTACAATATGCTGCCTCCTCACATGCTCTCCGAAAATGCACGCACATTTAAAGAAAATATCAATCAACAGAGTAAAAAGTACAAGCACATGCGTCTTGACACATGGTGGTAAGACACATGGAGTACAGGTGTACCTCTGACCTCTCTGCACTACTTTGTATAATAGTTGTTGTTAGACTTCATAAGTATAAGTAAATTCAATAAGTAGTTAAGGTTATTTTTTGTTGTTAAGCAATTGTTGTGTATGATGTTGTTGAACCTTTTGTTACTATTAAGTTGGTAATTGAATATTTTATTATTGTGAAAGGACTTCAGGAAGATTAGTATACACAGGTTGTATTACTAATGGAGAATCCTAATAAACATAAACATAAAAATAAACTTGCAGTATAATATCATAGTACTGTTAGCATATAACACTATACTGTGTAATACTATATAATACCACCTCTAAGCTGAATGATGGCAGTTCAGTACCAAGGAGAAAACTCAAGTTGTTGAGAACAGAAGGCAGATGGTAAGTACCATTGTGCCATTTTTCACTGTAGATCCTTTTTTGTGTAACTTCCAGGGCCCAGGCTGGCATGGCAGATGTATTGATGTCCCCTATTGGATGTTAGATCTAGAGACGGTGCACAACTTTGGCAGACTATGTGCCCAGGGTACAACCAAGGTAAGGTTATACTCCCTCAGTCCTGTAAGATTGAGCTTTAGGGGCAGTCTGTAGGTTATCCTGTTGGAGAAATAGTGAGTTCAGCACCAAGGACAGTGCCAATATTTCACAACTTTCACAACTTGCTGATCTTAGGTGCAAAATTACTGTAGATTTTGTTTTCTTCAAATTGTATGTGCCATAAAATGTGCCATCAGATGTCATGATTTTAAACTAGAAATGTTCTATAACAATTTCCTATCTCAGTACATGTACAGGGAGATGTAGTTGTGCCGTGCCCTACCAGAGTGAATGCTTTTGAGAGGCCGTTTTACTAACTATTTCCCTTCTCATATTATCCCAGTGTATGTGCCGTGAGGTGCGACTGTGCCATGCCCTGTTAGAACTCAGGAGGCCTCACATCAAGAGAAGTGGTGGAAGGTCCAACGACCCCATGCTGCTCTTCGTACTCAACAGACTGGCTTTGCAGGTGAACAGTCCTACCTTTTGCTCACTGAAACATTCTAGCTCATATATAGTGTATAAGATCATCACACAAGATGTAATAATGATATATGCAATGGTTTGAGACTGTATAATTTGTAAGGTTGTTTCAGATGAGTTCAGTTACCATAGGAAATCTGGTGCTAATGTAGCTGCTGTCCATTTGCAATGATATGGAGAAAAATGGTGATCCATATTTGTATTCTACCTGTATGAAAGGCATAATCACTGGCATTGTTGTGAAAGTGCCATGAAGCCCCGCTGTCTTAGCAAGAAGAACACTAATATTGTCTTTAGTACCATGGCTGTTCCAATGGCTGTTAAAGAAATGTATTTTAAGTATATTCTCTAACATGTTGCTCCATTATTTTGTCTGGAGTGCCACCAATCCTCTTTAAGAGTGTTAAACAATAATTGTGTTTACTAGACCCTCTAACATGTTGCACCATTGTTGTTCCAGGAGTGTCACCGTGCCCCTCCGTTCTGTACTGCCTCCCACCAGCAGGGCAGACCTGTGAATACTGTAGCCACTCACCAGGACTGTGTGGACAGGGAGGAGCAGCTGCAGGCCAGGGTTATAGAGTTAGAGGTAGTCATTAAGTTGTCAGCATACGATAGATCTTCATAAAACAATAAGCAGAGAAGGTTTGCAAATGCAGGGTTATGTGTACACATACGTCGATGAAGGTTAGACATCCAGGTAATAAGATACGCCAAAAAGCAGTTACTCAAGCAACTGGATATGATTTTGGAACGTCAGACGTTTCAGCTAGTATCCACTAGCTTTCATCAGTGACTGGCTTAGCCAGAGGAAAAAGCAGGTTTATAAGCACAAACTGTTCATTGATATGCAAATAAAATGAAGACAATTTTTTGGATGTCAAAAAGGGAACACAAGTCAGACAAGTTAAGACAAGTTTATGCTAAGTCAGGAAGCTCCTGTTATGCAGAACAGGAGCTTAAGTGTTGTCTGTCCTCGGGGTTGGGAGCGCCAAATCAAGTGCCGGAGAGATCTACCCGTAGCCCCCCTTCCCTGTTGAGGGTGGGGTTGTACATCCTTTCATATATTGCCACCCCGTTCCCACCAGCGTGTTTCGCGGTCTAAGATATCTGTGGACTCGAGTTTGAAGGAGTGGCCCTGGTTGTGTTGTAGGTGGTGGAAAATGGCCGAGGAGTAGCCGTTAGCACTAGGTCTGCAATGTTTCTTGTATCTTACTTTAAGCGGTCGACTTGTCTCTCCGATGTAGGTGTTGTTACAATTGGGCTCCTCACATTTGAGTCTGTAAATAACAGTCGCCTTGCTACCTTTGTGAGGTCGATCCTTAGGGTGTACCAGTCGTTGTCTGAGGGTTGAGTGAGGTTTGAAGTTAGTGGCTATGTTGAAGTTTTGGAAGATCCGCCGAAGTTTCTCAGATACTCCTTGGACATACGGAATAGTGATGTTGACTTTGTTTTTGTTTGTCAAAGGTTTGCACTTCTTGGTTTTCTTAGACTGATTTGAAGGTTTGGTATAGCGTTTGGCATATGTGTACACATGTACATCTACAAATGTATGTGACTGCAAGGATTACACTATAAGAGTACTAAGTATTCTGTTTCTTTGTTTGTTATATTTTGTTTGACCCTTACATCCTCCCTTTGTGCAGGCCAATTTGATCTCATGAATAAACAAACATTAAAACAAACAAACAATATGATAATAGTAGTAATGTCCAGGACTCTAGATTCACTCTTCCGAGGGTTAGACGTGCTTGCACTGGACAACTGGGGCTTGATGGCCGCTCGCCACTTGTCTCTGTCAACCGCTCAAACCCCAATTCCATCTTCGCAGTGGATTTGCATTAGTAGCATGGCTTTGTTATTTAAATTTGCTTTTTAGCTTTTTAGGAATACGTTGAAGCCTGAAATTTAATGAGATGTTCAGCTTGTTTTTTTATTTATTTGTTTGTTCTTCAGAAACAAGTGAAGCAGGTGGCAGAGAGGAACAAGACAGAGCTGAACAAACTCACCACCAAACTGTCCCTGGCAGAGAAGGAGAACGAGGAGATCAGCTACCACGATGCTTACAGGATGTTTGAAGAAAAGTTTAGGTCAGAAGTCAGGAAACTCAAGGCACAGTTTGAGGTTAGTTATAAGAGGTAGTAAGTTATAAAGTTTTCACAATGTAAATACTGCACAATCTTCAGTATGTATGTTCTAGGTTGAAGTTTAAGTCATAGAATGTAGTTACTAGTAGTAGTTAAAGTAGTTAGAATGTGTTTTTTTTCATATTTTTTAAAAACTTTTCCGTGTCCGCCACGCCACGGCACTTTATTAGATACTAATGTAATAGTTGAACAAATAGTGAGTTCAGCACCAAGGACAGAGCCGGTATTTCACAGCTTATGTGCAAACCCTTTGAGTATGTGACTTTGTCAAAACATTTTGGCAAACTTGAGGAATATCTAAGAAGGAATTCTGCGTTAGGAAGACGAATAGGAAGGTAGAGAATGTAATTTGTGTTTTCACTGTTATTACTAGCTGATTGGTTTCTTTTTCCACAGATGTGCCCTGATCACACAGTATGTGGAGAGACAGCAGACAGATCTCCGGGACAGGAACACAAAACAGAAGTGTCAGACCATCATAGATATGTGCACAGACATGAAGGAGGAGCTACATGTAAGTTTTCTATGCTTTTCATTCTGTATTCAGCTTTAACGCTTTGTATTACTGGCACTTCAATAACCCACATGTATGCTACAGGCACAAAATATTACAATCACTCTTAACAAAACTGAATTGTAAACCAATTCATTAAGTCATTAATTTTCAAGGCTAAAATGAGGATATTATGGGATGTTATAAGGAACAGGACACCTTAGCAATGGTGTCAGTGTTATTACCTGATTTTGTAACCTACATTGTATTGTTTTGTTGGTTTGCACAGAACCAGCATTACATGTGCTCAGTGTGTCACACCAAGCTTGCAAGAGAAGGTCCTACCTGATCCAGCCCAGTGGACACTATAACAGCTGTGAGACATGCCTGTTACAGTTAGCAGGCTGTCCTGTGTGTAAGATACCCATAGAGAGCAAGATCAAGGTCTTTGAATAGCTTCACAATTCTAATAGTAAGTCTTTGTGACTTTTGGTAAAGTCTTCATATGTTAAACATTCTGTATGTTATGTATGACAAATCTAAGTGAGCTATATTTCTTATATTGCTGCAAATACATGTGCCGTATCTGGCAAAGTAAAACGAAAACTAGAACTATAAGACTTAGTAGGTTTTCAAAGTGACCAATAATTGACAGATACACATAGGAACCTATTGACATGCATGTTCTATTCATGGTAATACATGTAGTTCACATAAGATGAGCTGAATGAACCTAAAAGCAAGTGCTTAAAGAAGCATGTCAAGTGAGTTTCACCTAGAATAATGGGCTGTTTCACCTTGTCTTCTTCTTCTTATCCGAGTTTTACGTCCATTGATTCCCCGAATCGGGGGTATAGACGTGCTTGCACAGGTGCATGTTTGGGCTTGTCATTTTGCCCCTCAGCATGCTGAGGTGCACAACAGCAAGCCTGTGAAAGTCTTTTGGGTTTGGGGCAAAGTTTTTACTGACTGGAAGCCCTTCCTAATGCCAAACTCTCAGAGACTGGCTGTGATCATTGTAGTTTTTCTATTCTTAGCTAGCAAGCTGGAAGCTTACTATTTCACTTGTCTGACTACATAATATTCATCTATCCTCCATAGATTGCCTTCTATGCTGCTCCACATTTTGCCATTAGCAATACTTTCAATTGTTGTTAAAGGTGAGCCCTGCTTGTTTCCCCTATATCTTCAACTAACCAGATCTATTAACCATTCTTCACGTTTTCTAGATTCATACAGTTCATTTAGATATTATACATTGTAACATTGTACATCTATATCCAATACAAATGTTGCAAAAGCTGTCTTTCTTCTACAATTGTGGCTTTGTGTCAAAAATTTCCTTTTCTGGTTCCTTTTTGTTACATTGCCTGTTCATGGCACTAATCATCATTCGTAAACTAATGATTACAAAATTACTGCTTGGCACTTTATTTTGATAATGTATACAATGTATATATATACAGTATGCTGCTTATTCAACCTGCCAACATTATAAATCTTTGTTCAGTAGTATACATTTATTTACAGTTTTTCTCAAAATTTTCTCTAATAGCCAACCTGCAGGTGCTTTCAGATGAACATAGATTGACATTGTAAGGATGTTGTAGAGTAAATGAATTTTACTGATACCAGTTTTACTACTTGCCCACCTCTGTGTCAGGAACAACTGCTAATACTGCCTAAACTAATACAAAGTTTATTAGAAACCATAATTTCTTGTTTTTTTTCTACTTCAAGGCACTAATGAATATTATTATACACAACATGAATCTATCAGACAGAATGTAAACACTCTCTGATATAACCAATAGCAGTCAATTGTATGAGAAGACCAATAATTTTATACAATTGCAGAAGGCCATGACCATTGTTACCTTTGACAAGAAGGTTATGATTTGGGGCATTCGTGTGTCTGTCTGGTCTGTGTGTGTGTGTGTGTGTGTGTGAACATGATTACCCAAGAAAGCTTTGATGGAAGTTGACATTTGGTAATTGAGTAGGTCTTGATGAGACCTCAAAACGATCAGATTTTGAGCTCCTGGTGGCTTGTCATGTTACTGCAGCAGAACTTCCGGTTTTGATATCTTGTGATCCAGACATGCTAGGGACCAAAAATTTACATGGTAGATACATGTAGCTTTTGTGCTGGGGATGAAGTGACAGTTTGAGCCCCCTAGCTGCTTGCTCTGTAACTGTAGCCTGGGCATTTATTGAAAAATGATTAAATGACTAGAGGATAATCCAAGAATATATTGATGGATCGTCGTGATTTTTGGTATGTAGGTACATGTAGCTTAAGTGATGCTTGACATAATAATATTACAATGCAAATATGGATGTAATTTGCATATGTAGTTAAGAACAAGATAAACACAGGCAGATATCAGTTATGCAAATGAAGACTTAATTTGCATAATTAATGAGAAAATGTAATAATTCCATTGTGCTGACTGCCTGGAATTTTATACTTCGGCATTTGAAAGTTAAGTGAAGGTGAACATCATTAAACATAACTTATTTAAATAAGGACCTCATTTGCATAATTTATGAGGAAATACTACTGTTATATATTGCTGTTGTTGATTTTGTCAGGTACATGTAAGTTTGCTTGCTCGAGATGATTAAGCAATTTAATTGCCGCCAGAGAAGGAATATTGCCACTCTAACATTCAGCAGACTTAAAGGCCAAATGTTTCAAGAAACTTGCTGTGCGATTCTTCCCAGTACTTTGAGGCCAGAAGTTTCTCCTTCAACTGCCTTGCAGCTTGAAACTCCCTGGGTCCATTCGTCAGAACCTGGATGATACGCTTGGCCAGCATTTTGGCTGCTTCCTCATTGTCATGTCCCATCTCTACAACAGGGCGGTCAAACTCAGGGCCTAGGCTCTGTAAGAACCAAGCAAGGCCAGACTTGTCGGAAACCAGGACAGGCACCCCTGCAGCAATAGCTTCAAGACCAACAAGTCCAAAGGGCTCTGCACGAGACGGCATCAGAACGACATGGGCCCGCTGCATTTCTCTGCTCAGCTGTTCCTGTGTGTACCTTAGAGGGGTAAAATGGAATGTACCTTTCTGTAGGTTGGTCTGAATAATATGCTTGCTTTCTTTGAAATCCTCAGCACTGACACCACATGCTCGCCACCTTGTGTGGGGGAGCGCAGTTGTCACAATGCCCATGGCCTCTGCAACAGAATCACAGTCCTTCAGCCTGTTCATGCCCTTGACCCTGCCAACGGACAGCACCACTTTTGTTTCCGTGTGGACATATTTCACTTCCATATTACTGAAGATGTCAGATGGCTTTGGGAGAAACTGATGATGTGGTTTCATCACTCTTGTCAGATTCGCGTAGTAGTCATACATGTATGGGCCCACTGAGAACATCACATCAGCATGTTCTAGGTCATCCAGAATGCCAGCAGTCTCATCCTCAATGCTCAGCACCCTCTCATCACTCTTGTACCCTGCAACTTCTGGGACCTTGTGAATGACTTGGACAAGTTTGACATCAGGAAAACGTTGTGCCTTGATCTGTCTTGCTGCATGGCTTGTGATGTTGACATGGCCAACGATGAAGTCTACATCTGAGGGGAGGTTGGGATAACGAATCTGATGATCCCATGTCAGCCAATCAATGGTGGGCATTCTTCTGTCTTCCTTAGACATAGTTGGAAAGATCAGCTCAACCCCATCAGCCTCTGCCTGAGCCCTGTCCTCTTGTGTGGCATCCAAGACTGTACTGTAGACCTTGACTCCTTTTGAAGCTAGTAAGCAGGCTTCCTGGCGGTTGATAATGGAGACACCAACCTTTGAAGACCCGTACTCATCATTTAGGAACAGCACCACAGGGTTGGTTCCAGATGCTTGAAACAGCAAAAAGCAGAGAAATATAAATCAGCTCACCATTTTTTTGTCATTGGACTTCCTGGACACTTATTTCATTTAGCTAATAGTATGAGTAAATTTAGTTTAGATTTTCCAAACACAAGCTCCAGGAAGCTTAATACTTTAAGCTAACTTCTACTGATGCCCTATTTTCATTGTTTGACTCTTATTGCTGTGGGTTGACTTTAGAAACTTGGCAAAAGTTTGGTAAAAAGAGTACCATGATGACACCTACAATGTATTGCATTCATGGCATGCAGTGTACCTTATTTGCATGCCAATATGATTTCATCATTACAGTACCAGAAAAAACTTAATGATCATACTGAATGATAGTGAAGGATACTACTCAGAGTTTGTCTAATTATATAGATTTGCCTTCAAGAGCAAATTGTTGGCATCTCAATCATTAATAAATGTTTCAAATGTTTACTCAATACTTGAATATGGAGTAGAATTCACCTTGAGCATATCCTTGTGACTGTGGCTCTTGCTTTGGAGATAGCTCTATTGAAAAAGATACAGAAATGACTCTGAATGTACATGTAATAATGGACAACATAAGGTGCACACCTTTTAACATCATGATAAGTCAACAACAAGTGTCAGGCCTTTATTGTTAGGTGGCAAAACTTCATAAAATTATGATGCTGATATCACCCATCACTTAAGAGACCTTGCTAGAAGAGAATGAAACTTGAATTTGAGAAAAAGACTGTTCTGATTTGTCCACAGATTGATTACATTACATAAAGCAGAGAAAAAATAAAGTAAATAATTATGACTCATACAAGCAAATTGAATGTAACAGCAATGTAAGAGTCAGGGAAGATTTGATTTACTCTTCTCCAGAATTGCAGTTAACCCATTGCAACTAATGTATGCAACCCTGACTTTGGATGGAGCACCTGTTTAAAAAGTGCATGCCCAATTACAGGAAATTTGGAAAATTACTTAATTGTCATGATGAATTCAAAGAATTAATTTACATACCAGGGTATTTCTCCTTGAGACCATCCACAACGTTGTGTAGGCCTGCATCAATTAGAGCCCTCATCAGCACATCCACAGTGGCAGCACTTCCATGCCTCTTTTGCCACTCCATCAGCAGGTCCCTGCAGCGAGACTTGTCATCACGGTTTCTGTTGGTAATGGTCCTGATGTCAGGGTCATCAAGGTCAAGGTAGTAGGCCAGTTCTCTCCACATATGACCAACTTTGGTCTCAATGAAAGAAAGATACTTTTCATTGCCTGGAAAAAATAGCTTAGCATTAATGTATGCACGCTACTAGTAGACACACTGGAAGGATGCATGTATTTTTTTTTTAAATAACCTGCTACTACCTCTATTAATTGATAGTTTTCAAAGAATGCATATGTGGACAGTGGTCACCTTACCATGTTCAGTTCCAATAAATAATCAACATTTTCTAATTTTCCAGTAAGAAATGTTGAATTTAGCCCCACCTTTACACAGAAAAGTCTTAGTAACAGCAATAGACAAAACTTGACAATATATACTTTTCACCATTTAGATTTTCCATCAACATCAGTTCAAAGCATTGTTGCCTAAAAAGTTAGCAGGGTTCAACCATTCATCACTTCAATGTCAAAAAAATAATTTTAAAAGTGATTTTAATACAGATGGGAGGGGGAGCTTTAGCTTGAAATATTGTACACACCCATTTTTAGACTGGTGGCTGTGATGTTTGCTTCCTCGGGATCAAGATGCCGACTGTAGCTGTGTAAAGGCAAACAAGTTACATTTGTAAGATGCAATCATAATTTTTCGAGATAGAAGGATGCCTTCTATTACTTTGTCCAACACATAGTTCCTCCATGCAAGGTGCTAATGGTACATGGTGGTATGCACACTACATGTATTACTGCACCTACATGTATGTGACTGTACCTGTGCCTTCTTATAAATGATACATTTAACATGAACAGCAAGCAGGACCAAATGTGCACATTTTAAAGTGAAAAGTAAATTCAGTGCATGACTCACTGAAATGTCTCCAATGTTGGATGTTCTTCAGTAGCCTGTATAACAGCATGAAACCCTGCAGGGTCCATGGAGATGTTCTGTAGGTCCAGCTGCTCCAAGGCAGGCAGCCTGGATAGAGACTCTGCCAAAGTCATGGCAGCCATGTCATATAGATGAACTAGAGAGTGCTCGTAAGCAGACATGTTCAGCCTGGTCAGTGCCAGCAGTAGGCTGATGAGCTGTGCAATCCTCAACAGTCCATCTCCAGTTACTCTGTTGAATCCAATGTACAGCTCCAGTAATGACATGTTAAGACTGCTGTTACAGTGGCAGAGTGCTTCCACCAGTGTGACAATTCCATAGTCCCCTATGGTATTGTAGCTCACGTCCAAGACCTCTAATTCCCTCAGCAGGAAGGGCGGAATTCTAATCAGGGCCAATATTCCCCTGTCACTGATATGTGTCGAACTGAGAAGCAACACCTTCATGGCTTTGAAGCAGTGGAGGCAAGGTGCCAACCATTCCAGCCCAAAGTCTCCTATGCCATTTTCACTAATGTCCAGTTTGATCAGTCTGGTTAACCTACCCAGTGCAGGGACCAGTGTGCGCATGCCTGTGGGGCTGATACCTGTCTGCCTCAGAATCAATACCTGCATGTTTCTGAACTTGCGAATGACTTCTGTTAGAGATTCTAGCCCAGTGTCACCATTGTCATTATAACTGATATCTATCTCTCTCAGTCCCACTAGGTGGTGCATGTAGGGAGCCAGGGATGACATGCCTACAGCTGTCATGCCTACATTCCTAAGTCGAAGCACAGCTAGGTTTGGCACATTAAACAGTCCAGCCTGTAGAACTTCCATCCCAGCATCACCCAGGTAATAGTTTCCAGAAAGATCCAGCTCCTCTAACAGAGACATGTGTCTGAACCCCCTCACAAGTGACTGCAGTGATGTAGGTGTTAACTTTGTGTCTGACATATCTAGGGCCCTCAAATTGGGAACATTCTTCAGAACTGAAACCAATCTTTCTGTCAGATCAGCTGAGTCGAAATTCCCTGATAGTTTCAGATCTAACTTGAGTCCAGAATGAACAGTTGTAAAACACTGCTGGAGGTACTGGACTGTGTTTTGGCTGTTGATGTCTCCTTGGATCTCAAGAATAAGCCTGTTTGGGAGGTCTGCTGGCTGAATATTTTGTATGTAATACTTCAGAGCGCTAGCTTCTCTGCTGTTAGTGGAGTTGCCCATCATAACAATTGGTAAGACTTGACTGAAAGCTTTCAGCACCTCTGGTTCTTGTCTTTCACCCAGGATGTTCAGGCATAATTCTGCAAATCTCTCATAGACTTCACATAATCTTTGTACATTCTGAGGTGTGGGTACATGCAACCTTTCAAACTGCCCTGCCTGCAAATTTGTGAATTCTTTCTTACTGAGCTTACTTAGTTCCTCCATCACTGCTTGTGTTATCTGTGAGTCACAGCCACATGTGAACTGAAGTAAGTTACTGAGCTCAAGTGCCTTGGTTATGGAGGTGAGCTGCAGCAGCTCAACAATGCCCTGACTTCCAGATGCATGAGCAACATAACGTCCAGCCAGGAACTCTTGGAATGTCTTGTGTGAAAAGTTCAGCTGTTTCCTAGGATGCAATTTTGAGGAAGAAACCTCCAAGGAGACTACACCCAGCTTTAACAGTAACTCCCAATTAACCTTTTCTCTCTTTACTTCTGTAAGGTCAAGCAGGGTCTCATTCCTCAGCAGTGCCTCTAGTGCAAGCTTGCCGAGCTGCAGTAATGACTCAGAAACCTCTGTAGGCAGCCCTTCTGTTGGCATGTCCACTCCTTCCCACTCACAGCACTTTCTGACCAGACATGTCAGCAGGTTGTCGTACAGCCCCACCATTGTTCCAGTAGACACCATCTCTTGGTCCTCCTCCCACAGCAGACACAATAACATCAACATCATTGGTGTATACATTAAAGTGTTCAAAAGTTTGTTACCTTTGACATATTGAGCAAGTGTTCTTGTCAGTTCTTGCTTGTCAACAGTAGTGAAATACTGTTGCATGTATTTCTCAACATGTTTACTGTTATAGGAGAAGCCCATGATGTGTACATGACAGTCTGGTCGGGTGTACTGCTGCACTCCTGCTGAGGGTCGGGAGGTGATCACAATCGTGCTGTTGGGGTACATCTTGCCAGCCAGCAGTTTGGGAATGGCCTGCCCGGCTGCCCTGGCCTCAGGCCTCAGCTGATCATACCCATCCAGGAGGAAAAGCACTCGAGACTCATTTCTCAGTAGGGTTGCTCTGATGGCCTGTACATCAACACCTTTAGTTGCTTCATGAATACACTGATCCCACACCATCTCCTCAATGGTCTCCCCCTCTCTCACGTCCCGGAGTCGGATCAACAGGACGATGTCATGCCGTCTGCCCAGCTCTGTTTTCTTTGATACGGCATCTAGAGCTTCTTTTGACAGAAATGTTGTCTTCCCCTCTCCAGCTTCACCCTCAATCAGAATGCACCTTGGTGCTGTGGACTGTCCTGTGACCTCTGGTTTGAACAAGCCATCCAAAGAATGGAGGTTCTGTCTTTGCTTTCTGTTTTTTACATTGACCAACTCCAGGTCAGTGTAAATATCACCAAGACGGAGTGTAAAGTTGTCATTCCAGATGAGAGGCTTGAAGTGAGTCAGCTTTAACTCATAGTACTTCTTCACAGCCTCCTGGAACACATCTGAACAGGAAGAATATTACTTTATGTGTCATTAAGGACTAGGTTTATCACAACAGGCATGTTCTTGCTAATTAAGTAAAACTTTTTTTACTACAAGATGGTGAGACTCGATGGATTGTAATGCTAAGTGAAGATTATTTACATTTAACACAAGACGTGGTGATGGCACACTCAAGTTTTTACAACTTATTTTTATGCTGCCACCAACGCAGACAAGCACATGGACAACAGACACACTCATTTTCACCTGAGTTAGTGAGGCATGTCAATTAAAGTGCCTTTCAAAAGGGCACAAGATTGGTGGCATGGCAGGATTCAAACTCTGGACTTGTTGGTTTTGAGCGGAAAACTCTGCTATTACGCCACACAGCATAATCATGTTGCACACCATTGTGATATCTCAGCAACAAACGATTAATTGTAATTTGAGAAGGTTTGGCATATAACTTTATACAGAATCAAAAGGCACACCTTCTAAAAGTCCTTTGTGCTCTGCTGGTTCCAGACCTGATCTCGTCAGTGCAGACTCACCATGGCCTAGCTGTCCCTTGTGCTTGCTGAAAATAATGTTAGTATTAATATTTTCTATAGGCATAGTCATGAAACATGATATACATGTAAAGCTGTTATCAGTAATTTATACTCTGTAATGGGCACCAATTTGATGAACATACCACTTCCAGGTCAAAAGATACAAAGCCAGAAGTTCCACCGCATTAACATTATAAGATGCCCGGGCATTCATAATAGAATGTGTTGTTTGCTTTGCCCACATATCAAATATCAAGACAATCTATCGACTGAAGGTATTCTTTAGTTATCATGTTGGCACACAAAGTCAGACTGAGTCACATGCACAAAGACACAAACAAAAACAAAACAAAAATATAACCTCCTGGCAGAGGTAATGAGCCAGTTTTATCCCTGGATACTGCTTATTTATGTAGTACTATGAAGCCATGCAGATCATGTACTACTGAACAGAAAAAAACATCAATTATGAAACTCTTTGTAAAGAGAGGAGTTCTCTCACCTAGGGTCTTCATGATCCATTAATGTGGTACTAGTTTCTTCAGTATCCTGTATATACAGATTACAACAGGTGTCATTATGTGGGAAAATGCTTAATACACAATGATATTAAGTCCAAAAGTTTAAGGACTGATTTGCAAAAAGTATGCTGACTGTATATGTGAGATAATCTTTTCAGTGTATATAACAAAAAAATTAGAAATTCCAAACCTCTGGGAAGTATGCAGAGTTTTAGAATTAATTGGCACAACCAAAGTGATGGTCTGACATACTTTCTAAGACCGGCCTTTGATAAAAACCCTGTACACTAGAGTTTTCAATTTACCAGCCAGGATGCCATCCTACAGGTATTATTTTGTATTTGTATGACTGTATTTCGTATACTCGTTCCTCCTTCTATCGGACCAGCGGGTATAAGGACCCCAAAACGGATAGTACCCATTCTATAACTAACAGCTAATGTGGCAAACCTTTTTAAATACTAAAACTGCCGCTAAGATATGTTGTCCAGCTACCTTGAATTTGATTTTTAAAAATTCTATTCTGGCATTTCAATGAATTTGTTGGCCCGTTTCAAATGCATAGTTCAAAACTATGACTGTCACAGTAACACATGGCTGCCGAGAGCTATCCAGTGGCAAACCATGAGGCTATATACGCAGTGGAAGCACCTCTGCCTGGGGAGAATGCAATAACAATAGTTCACATTGCCTAGAATTGGTTTTTATATACAATTGAAAAATTTAATATACTGATTGTCTTAGACTAACACTTACTAGTATTATGTCAATGTCACATGTGTCAGATCTTGGTGAGTTGTACAGGTCTTCAGTCTCTTCATAGATCATCCAAATATCAGAGATCCCAGAGTCCGGAACTAGTGTAACAGAGGGATAAATCTGATGAAATCAGTATACACACTCTACACATAAGTGTTCTAAACAAGGATTAAATCAAGGATGTTCTACAAAAGGCCTGTGATGGAAGCTCCTTGATTAAATCACTACCTTGAGTCCTCAAATCGGAAATCAAGAGCTTGTATTGATTATAATTATTATATAAACAAGAATTCTGAGATCTCATACCTCCATGAAATATGGGCTTGATATGTAAATATAAATTTCTTTAATTATGCAAATGACCTCTGCATTAACATGATATATGCATCGTGATGTATGTTGACTTTTGATTAACTTACAGATGTCCCAGGTATGACATTCCCATCATTCACCATTAAGAAATCATAGAATTTTTGCATTAATTATGCAAATTAGGTCATCATTTGCATAATTAGCATCTGTTGATGTTCCGCCTGCCATAGATTACACACATTACATGTATGAAAGTAGTATAATGTAAAACACTGTAATTATAGTCATTAATTATTAATTATGCTAGTAAAGTCCTCATTTGGATAATTTGAATTTAATATGTACATCTCTCTCTCTCAGCTAACACACCAAAAATTATGAACATATGTTGTTCCTATCTGAACGTATTGGCTTTTAAACATTTCGCCAGAAAGTGCCCTGCACTTCCAGAACAAGCTGCTATGGGGACCAAACCCGCACCACTTATTCCTGACAGGAAAAGCAATCTGTCACCAAAACATCAAGACCATAGCATGTTCAGGACAAAAGATACAAAAACCGGAAGTTCTGCTGCAGTACCAAGGTCATCCACCAGGAGGCCGATATTTGACCTTGACCTTTGGCTTCCTAAGACCTACCAACATACCAAATATCATCTTAATCCATCAAGGCTTTATGAAGTTATGCTGACTACAAATGTGCGGAAACACAAACACACACACACACACACATACATGTAGTTACAGACACACAGACACGCCAAAAACAATACCTCCATTTTTCATGGAGGTAATAATAAGTATATATTATAATGTTATCAGAGCATTGGGATTCAGGAGGGTAAACCAACTTTTGCATGCTATATTGACTTTCAAAAGGCATTAAATTTGATTGGATTGACAGAGCTCTTCTGGCAGACAGATTGATTGATAGGGTTGACAGAAAAACCTGTCCAGTCTGGTAAAAGGGTCTGCATGGGGAATTACAATGTAGTCCAAATAGCCACTATTCAAGACACTGTCTACATTGTATGTTGAGACAATGGATACATGTGTGTGGCTGCACATGAAAAAGGGACACAGCAGGCTAAGGACATAGTTTACATGTATACTTAGTAGATATACAAAATATAGATTGATGTACATGTCCTTGCACGGGCAAAGTCTGAATGATGGTAACATAAGAGATTGGCTGACCATGCCATGCCTACTAGTTTCTGGTAAGATTTCCTAGTAGGCACCAAAAGTGAGTCAAACTACATGTAGTCTGGAAATTAATGTTCCTTTAGACCATTTTACCAGATCAAAATCAAATGTATCAATTTAGTTTTTTTACTTCTCAAATAAAAATATTGAATTCATCTAATGTTGAATACAACCCCCTTGGTTTACATTTTGTACCTACCTAATATCTACATTTTGAGTACTGTAATTCAACCCAGAAGTTTTCCCAGACAATCCTCCACCCCTAAGCATAATCTCCAAGCAGATCTTCAGACTGGACAGGCTTTTCCGCCAACCCCTGATTGATACAGGGGTTAATGGCAAATTTTTGAGGTGTTATTTGAGGAGGGGACAGGGTTAGTTTAATGGCAGCAAAATGTTTTCGCTCAATGCGGACGCGGGATGCGCCGCATGGCATTACACGGTAGGCTGACAAGAGTGCCCAGTTGCTGACAAACAACCTAAGCATTGTGTTACGCAGAGAAGTTCAATGTTTATCTGCGACAAATTTTCCACTGCATTTGCCGCATGCATCGCAGCTACATACAAACCAGGAAAAAAAGCGAAATGAGAAAAAAACAGCTCGGGTGGTCACGAGGAAGGGCCCAACTTGTGTTTGTGATACAAGTACATAAGCATGCAAGCATGGGCATAAACAATAATGAGGGCTTCATAAACAAATACAAGAATGTGGTTGATTATTGTTTTAATAGCGGAGACCGAAGACAAGTTACAGGAAATGTTGAACATTGTAACAAAGTCACAGGTGTTTACAGCGGAGACTGATGATCAATCAGGCAAAATCTCAAGTTAAAGGAAGCACATGAATTTATGTTCAGAGAAATGAAGTTGGGGTATACAAGCTCCTATATAATAGATTCAGCAGGCAGGGCCCTACATGTAGGAAGTATACTTGGCAAAGTTAAGGTCCCT